CTGTCTGCCCTGCCACAGAGTGTGCAGAGCAGCTGACAGCGAGAAAGACGCCTGGACCAAAGCTTCGTGTCGAACTGCAAGCTTAAGGTTGTTTCTTCCGCAGTGCGCCCTGCCCAGTGTTTTGTTGGAAGATGCCTTTAAAATTTTATAAATTGGGGCTGGAGAGATGGCTCAGCAGTTAAGAGCACCAAGTGCTGTTGCAGAGGACCCGGGTTCAATTCCCAGAACCCACATGGCAGCTAACAACTGTAACTCCAGTTCCAGGGGATCTGACATCCTCTTCTGACCTCTGTGGCATTGCACAACAGGGGTGCCCTCACATACATGCAAGGCAACACACTCGTACACACAAAATAAAAAAAATAAAAAGTATTTAAAAATTTTATAAATTACATTAATTGATTTTGTGTGTGTGTGTGTGTGTGTGTGTGTGTGTGTGTGTGTATTTAGTGTGTGTATAACACAGAACAAATGTGGAGGTCAGAGGATAACTTTCAGGAGTTGGTCCTCTCCTTCCATTATGTGGGTTCCAGGGTTTAAACTCAGGTCCTCAGACTTGGTGGCAGGCACCTTTACCCACCAAACCATCTTGCTAGTCCTGTTATGGAATTTCTGCAGTGTCTTTGAAGTAAAGGCTTTGATCAGTTGATACTGTTCCCCTAGGATCACCTGAACCCCTTCTCAGTGGGCTGCCACTTGCTAGGAACATGCCATGAATATATTCTTATGTGTGAATACATACATGTGTCATGTGGGATGGCATGGATGCAGATGCAGTTTGGTGATTTAGGTATAGAGTTGTCCTAGTTACTCTCTGTGCTGTGATAAGACACTGACAGCTGTTGTGGCAGACTCATACAGATGACCAAACTCAGCTTCCAGCATAAGATGCAGCCTTGGTCCCCCCTGGACCACAGCCTCCGTGTGCTGTCCCTGAGGAAACACTCCCAGATCTCACCTCAGAGATGCTGGTCTCTTTCAGCCCCAGCTCACTACAACATCCATTTTCCTAGCAAAGCACAGGTTTCACTTCCACAGTCCTCCCCAAACCAACATGGTTGGGTCTGTCACTGCAAGGCCCCACTCTCTGGTACCAACATCTGTCCTGGTTATGGTAAAACACTGACCAAAACAAACTTGGGGAGGATTTACTTCATCTTAATACTTCCAAGAGACATTGTATTCACTGAGGGAAGTCAGGCCGGAACTCAAGCAGGAAGGAACCTGGATGCAGGAACTGAAGTGGGTGCCACAGAGGAAAGCTGCTTACTGGCTTGCTCCCTGTGGCCAGTTCAGCAGCTCCTCTACAGCCCAGACCACCATGGCTGTGCCCTCCCACACCAATTAACAATCCAGAAAATGCCTCGCAGACATGCCCACAGGCCAGTCTGATAGAGGAAATTCCTCAGTTGAGATTTCTTCTTCCCAGGTGACTCTAGTTCATGTCAAGTTGACAAAAACTAACCAGCACAAGGGTTTTTTTATTTTTAAAAATTTTATGTGTATGAATGAATTGCCTGCATGCATGTGAGTGTGCCCATGTTGTGCAAAGCCCGTGGAGGTCAGAAGTGGGTGTCAGATCCCCTGGAACTGGAGTTATAGACAATTGTTAGCCACCATCTGGGTGCTGGGATTTGAACCCAGGTCCTCTGCAAGAGCAGTTAGAACTCTTAACCACCGAGCCATCTCTCTAGCCCAAGAGTGTTTGATAAACAAATGAGAACAGGCTGGGGATATAACTCAGCTGGCAGAGTGCCTGTCAAGATACAGGAAGCCCTGGGTTTGAGTCCCAGCATTGCATAAAACAGATGTGACAGTGCATGTCTGTAATCCCAGCACTTGGGAGGTAGAGGATCAGAAGTTCTAGGTTATCCTCTGTTACATAGAAAGTTTCAGGCCACCCTTCTGGTTAGTTAATATTCTGGAGGTGGAGAGGTGTAGGGGTCATGCTTTCTCATGCATGACCTCCCTTCAGGGACAAAGGTCACGGTGTGTGCTGTCCCTGAGTAGGATTTTAATTATTTTTTTTCTTTTAATTTATTTTATTTTATTTATTTTTTGTCTTTTTGAGACAGGGTCTCCTCGTAGCCCCAGCTGTCCTGGAACTCACAACGATCCACCTGCCTCTGCCTCCCAAGGGCTGGGATTAAAGGTGTGCGCCACCATGCCCGGCTTATTATTTTTATTTTATGTGTATAAGTGTTATGTCTGCATGTAGGTAAGTGCATGCATGTCGTGCAATGCCCTTGGAGGACAGAAGAGGCTGTCGGATCTCCTGAAGCTGGAGTTATGGACAGTTGTTAGCTGTCATGTGGGTG